GAATATCGGGTACAATCCTTGAACAATCTTTCGTTGTTGCTATATACTAAAATATAAATTTATTTTTTTAACTTATAAATAGTTAAATTACTTCCGTAATAAGATCATGAAGCCTTGCTAGCTTATAACTTGTAAACTTAATTTTTTGTATTTTATTGCTTCATTAATTAACATATTGAATAAAATATTTGTATATTTTTCTGTGAAATCAACACCTTTAAAATCAAAAGTAAGTGATTCAGAAATTGATAAATGATTTGAAACGAATTTTAAAACATTTTCAAATATTCCATTGTAAGCAAGTAAGCAAGCAGATTTAATGTTAAATTGAAGAGGAATTGTCTTGTCGTTATCAAATAATATATTTAACATTTCTGGATTAAATACACTTCTAAAGAAATAAAGAGAACCAAAAGCACATTTGAATAGGCGTTCTAACCAGCAACGAGAAATAATCATTTCTTGGATATTTTTTGGATAGGTTGGCAGTTTTAAACGATAAACAAGGTCTCGATCACTCGATCTAGAAAATATAGTTTTTAGTAAAAAATCAAGTCTTGGTATGTATCTAAGAGGAAATAAAGGTGTTACGACAATTGCGGATACGCACGTGCGGATGCGACGATTCCGGATATGACAATTACAGACGACAGATGCGGACGACAATTCCTGATTTGACAATTGCGGATTAAAAAATTTTTTTAAATGATCTTCGTCGCAATCGTCGCATCCGCAATTGTCGTACCCTCGAAATAAAAATGTTTTCACCCGAGGCTTTAAACATCGATCAGATAAAAAAACATCGATCAGATAAATAGGTTTAAACATCGATCAGGGTCCGTAAAATAAGAACTCGGTCACCTGACGATGGTTACCTAACCATCGTCACCTAACCATGGTTAGGTAACCACAAGGTCATTGTAAACCGGTAAAATAAGAAAACCACGTGGTTAACCACCGTCGTAAGGTTACCTAACCACCAACCAGCTTCTTATTTTACCGTTATAAAAATTAAATTTTTATTTAATTAATGTTTTTATTTTTTTATTTAATTTTAAATTATTTAAGGGAGAAATAAAGGAGTAGAGACTAATTTAATAAATTAGTCTTTAAAAATTAGCCCTTTTTTCATTAATTTTGTTTCCCCTTGCTTTATGATAGGGTTAAAAATCATCCCCTTGCTCTATGATAGGGTTAAAAAGTGAAATTTAAGATTTCTTAAAAAATTTCAAAATTAAAATAAAATTCTGAAATAAAATTTTTCTAATATTTTAAACAATTCTCTATCGAAATATATAAATTTTGTGAATTTTGACCGTGAAAAAGATTTTCTATGAAATTTTTAAAAAGACACCCTAAAATCGAGCAATTTCCTTTGGTAAAAATTTGCGTTATGGCAGAAACTTTTTATAAAAAATTATGAAATCAGGATAAAATTAAGAAATAAAAATTTTCTGATACTTTAAATAATTCTCTGTTAAATGATATAATTTTTATAGATTTTTACCGTCAATAAGATTTTCTATAGATTTTTGAAAACAACAACCTAAGGACAAGAAATTTTCTAGGGTAAAAATTTTTTATAAAAATTTTTTCAAATAATTAACTTGATTCCTTATTAACCTACATAAATTTCACAATTTTTTTTTCATTGAAAATTTTTTTGGATATTTTTATGTCTACACTCCGCGTCAAAATGATAGCTCCACCCCTATATTCTATTTTTATTTCCGAATAAAAAATATAAGATTTTTACTAATATCCCTTCTATCAAGACAAGCTCTCAAGCCTCCGTTTTTACGGGAAATGGGTGTACAGTACTTAAAAAAATATTTTAGACCCCTTAGAGTAGATGTAAAATTTTTCTTTTATACTCGACAAATAGCCAATAAAATTGGCTCCATGACAATTGTACAGTGGGACAATTGTACAGTGAGACAATTGTACAGAAGACAATTGTACAGTGGACAATTATACAGTATTAAGAGCTTTTTAAAAAATTTTTATGTTAACCCAAAATATCGAAAACATATGATCAACACTAAATTTTTTTAAATTTTATTTCACAACATGGGAAGGTTATTCCAATGACGAAACAAACCTCATTTCGTTGAATTGATCAACGAAGTACATAGGTGATCAATCGTGGGAATGATCAGCATAAAGTGATCAACCAAGAGTGATCAATCAGTTGAGTGATCTGAAAATCGGAAAAGATTGAGAACTATCGATATCGAAAACCGAGTGATGATCAACCGGAAGAGTGATCAAACGAGAGCGATAAACGACACAGATATCGATACCTTAGGGACCAATCAAGATTCCCCTTAGAGATTAATTAATCAAAGCATCACTCTCTCTCGGTTGATTAATTGAAAAATTTGATCAAAATAAACTTCCCCGTCATTGAACAACTTCCCAATGTTGTATAATAAAATTTAAAATCCTTAATATGTATTGATCATATGGATTTCGATACTTTGGGTTATATTTCTTGACGATTAGCGCAAAATTAAATTCCTTTTTAAAAAGCTATGAATACTGTACAATTGTCCACTGTACAATTGTCTTCTGTACAATTGTCTCACTGTACAATTGTCCCACTGTACAATTGTCGTGCCACCATAAAATTTGCTATAAGATGCGAAAGGACCCATCCTTCTAAAAAAATTTTTCCTCAAAAATTCCTCTATTTTTCCTCAAAAAATTGTCATTCAATTGGAGGGGCCATTTAATTAGAATAAATACGTTATGTTAATTTTTTGTCTCAATCTATATTTTAAAAAATCTAAAAACTAAATTTTAAATTAGAAATCTTTTTTGAATACACATTTATAAGAGTATCTAAAAATTTTTTCAGGGAAAAAATTTTGAACTTTATAAAGGTTAATAAGGAACAAGTGAATTACTTTAAAAAAATTTTAGAGAAAATTTTACCCTAGAAAATTCCTTGCTTTATGTTGGCTTTTTCAAAAATCTATAAAGAATCTTATTGCCGGTAGAAATATATAAAAATTATATAATTTGACAGAGAATTCTTTGAAATACCAGAAAAGTTTTATCTTTTAATTCTATCCTGATTTTATAATTTTTATAAAAAAATGCGTCATTCCGGAAATTTTTACCGAAGAAATTTGGTAGATTTTAGGGTGACTTTCTAAAAAATTCATAGAAAATTTTTTACCCGGTGAAAATTTTCAAAATTTATAAGATATATAGAGAATTGTTTAAAATGTTAGAAAATTTTTATTTCTTAATTTTATCCTGATTTCATAATTTTTTATAAAAAATTTCTGCCATAACGCAAATTTTTACCAAAGGAAATTGCTCAGTTTTAAGGTGACTTTTTAAAAAATTCATAGAAAATTTTTTTAATGGTCAAAATTCACAAAATTAATATATTTCGATAGAAAATTGTTTAAAATATTAGAAAAATTTTATTTCAGAATTTTATTTTAATTTTGAAATTTTTTATAAAATTTAAAAGCCCATGGTTACTTTTTTCAACCCTGCTATCGACCATGGTAGCTTTTTTGACGACGTGGTTATGGTTACCTAACCAGCAACCACCGTCTTATTTTACCGGTTGATTTTAACCGCCGGTTGGTGGTTAGGTAACCAGGTCACCTAACCACAAGGTCATGGTTAACCTTACGACCGTCTTATTTTACCGGTTAAAACCGCCGGTTGGTGGTTACCTAACCAGCAACCGAGTTCTTATTTTACGGACCCAGATAAATACAAAGGAATTGGTTTTACCAGTACTGGATTTCTATTACATTTAGTACATCTAGTACAGCCAAAATCTTTAGCATTTGGTCTAATTATTTTATGAGGAACTTTGTTGAATCTATCAATATCATCCTGGCAATTTTTGTAAATTTAAAATATTAAAAAATTAATTTAAAAAATGTTACAATCAGAATTTTATTAAATTCCTCTCGAGCAAGCTCCCCTTCATATTTATTTAAAAAATTATAAAAATATAAATTTGTTTGTTTGATTGAACATAAATCTTCAAAATTTAAACATTTAAAAATATCTAGTTTTATTTCTGTTGGTAAAGAATTAAACATTTTTTAAGATTTAATTCAAAAACTAAATAAAAATTAAGTTTAAAAAATGCTGAAAAATTATATTATTTAAAATGTGTTCAAAAATATTTAAAAATAAATTAACAGGCTCTGCAGAAAAGATAAGTTAAGTTTTTTTAATAAGCTTTTCCAAGATAAAATTTGAATAAAAATAAACGAAAAATATAGGCTTGACAGTAATTTGGATTAAAATGGAAGAAGGCTACATAAAAATGACGGTAAGTAATGCATCTTTTATTTAATTTTGTTTAAAAAATGACTAAACATGCAAAAATAAGTAGAAAAAATGATTTAAAATTCAATTTTTGATAAACTAAAACAAAAAAATGGTAAATGAATACTTGAGAAATAAATATGTCTTTATATCCATCTAGTTTTACCTCATTCTAATTGCCTAATTACATTAAATGGGCGTAAAAATATGCGTGTGATTTTTGCCTTACAAAAGGAATATTTTTTATATTAAATGTTAATTTTTAAATGATAATGAAAAATTAGAAAAATTGTATTTAATTGTATGACTGCATAAATGCCGAAAGGACGTATTTTTAATTAGATAAAATTTTTTTTACTTTTGAGAAATTCGAAAAAAATTATACACAAAATTTTATCAAAAAAAACAAAAAAATTTAAAATTAATTTTGAAAAAGTAAATATTATTTTCCTGATCTGCCCAGAGATCGGTATTTAAATATTTAACTAATATTAGAAACGATACGTGAGAACAACCTATTCCAAAAATAACTCGAAAAACACGAATTAGGATCCAGTCCAATACCAAACAATAGAATTCATAAATGACACAAATTTTATTGAAGCAAAAATAAATTAATCAAAAGTCAATGAAAAACATTTTAAAAATATTTTTTGTCCAATAAATTAAATGAAAACTTCAATCATTCCAAATTAAATTCTTTTAATTTTAACATCATTGTAAAATACCCATGGAGCACTTGATTGTTTATTGCGGAATGCAAATTTCACTTTTGGATTGTAAATATTGGTGATTTGATAATTCGTATATTTTTTGTCATCCACTTGCTTAATTTCAACATTTTCTGCTCTTTCACTTAATTTAAAAGGTGGCGAATTGTCAAATCGAAAAAGAATATTGGATATTATTTTTGAACAATCCTCCGATGTTGCTATATACTAAAATTTATTTTTAATTGAATTTATAAATAGATGAATTACTTCTGTAATAAGATCATGAAGCCTTGCTAGCTTATAACTAGTAAACTTAATTCCTGGTATTTTATTGCCTTCATTAATTAACATATTGAATAAAATATCTGTATTTTGCTCTGTAAAATCAACATTTCTAAAATCGAAATCAAGATATTCAGAAATTGATAAATGGTTTGAAACGAAATTCAAATCCTTTTCAAATATTCCATTGTAAGCAAGTAAGCAAGCAGCTTCAATGTTAAATTGAAGAGGAATTATCTTGTCGTTATCAAATAATATATTAATCATTTCTGGATTGAATACACTTCTAAAGAAATAGAGGCAACCAAAAGCACATTTAAATAGGTGTTCTAACCAACAACGAGCAATAATCATTTCTTCAATAGTATTTGGGATGGTTGGCAAGGTTAAAATATATTTAAGTTCTTGTTTAAGTTCTTGAATCACTAAATCTAGAAATATAGTTGTTAGTACCAGGGCAAGGTTAATTTCGCATCATTCGCATATTTCACATTTTTCAGCGCGAAAAGTTATGCATTTAGCTTTTTATTTTTAGATTTTGCCCAGCTCTAGTTAGTACTCAGAGTTTAAAAAATCAGGTTTTGGTATGCAAGAGGGCATGCCGTTCCTCAAAATTGAAAAAGGGAGAAAAGAAAATTTGGCAGATAAAAATGTTTTCACCTGAGGTGTTCAAAATTATTCGAGGAATTCTTGAACATTCAGCAATAGAAACAGTTGTAGTTCCAGATCCAGAATTATTTAAAAACAACGGAATTGATCTGTCTATAGCTGGTTGCCACTAAAAAATAAATGTAATTTAATTAAAAATTAATCTAACCTTCTCTTTAAGTTGATCACTTAAAGTAAATCCAAAAACTCCCGATTGAGGTTCAATTAATTTATATGTAAATAATGGATCATCAAAGGTATCACGTTCATTCTAAAATTAATTTAAATAGAAAATGCCTGTAAACAAATAGATTTACTATTAGTAGTATATACTCCATTTTTATAACACTTTTTAAAAATTTTTTAAAAAGTGTTATAAAAACGTAGTAAAAAATTTAAAAAAATCACAGCCAATACCTTAGTAATTATTCTAAAAAATTTTCGAATTTTAAATAATTTTTTAAATTTATTTTCTAAAGTGTTTATAATCGCAGGAAATTTGAAAACATTTTAAAAGCCTATGCCTAGACGAACATTTTTCAAAAAAAGTGATTCAAACTTATATTTTCGTACTCTTCATATTGCAGATAATTATATGTTAGCGAATGATAATTACCGAAAAAATTTTTATTTAAGGCGCAATAATTACCTTCGCAAAAATTTTTCGTTTTTTACAAAACTTGTAAATACAACAGTGTAAAGATTTTTTTGAAAAAGCAATTTTCTTTTTGATTGCGTAAAAGCAATTAGTGAAAATTTTGCGAACAAAAATTTTACAAAATAATTAGGTGTGATGAAATATTCGACAAAATATTTTGTAATTATTTGAAAATTTTTGAAGGAGGTAAAATTTGCAGCATCGTGAAAATTTTTAAAATATTGCTAGGCTATAGATGGAAAAAAGTCAATCGTTTTTTAAGAAAATCACTGAGAATTAGAAATGTAAAAGCTTCTTTTATCATTCCTCAACAAAAATTCGAACTATAATCTATGATATACATGTCATTGTATAAAACTTAACCACTTAACCACATAAAATTAAGATTGAATCGAACATTCATAGAAATGGAGGAATTTTGTGAGAAATTTGTGAGTAACGCAAATTTAAAAATTAAAAATTATGTAGAAGTCGAAAAAATAATTTGAAATCTAAAATATATGAATGATTAGCATCGAGCACGGACAATAACTAAAAAATTGAAATAAAATCGAACAAAAATAATTAAAATGTATGTATAAAAAAATAATTGGCCACTCATTTGTAGTCATACTTAAAAACGTCACACCAATTGATTTCGTAATATGCACATTTGATTTCAAAAAATAATGCCCACATAATTGCTTCACAAAAAATATTTCACAATGAGTGAACAAAAAATTGCCAACTTAATTGGGCCAAAAAACGCACAAAGTACATAATTTGGGCGAAAGTTTTGCAAATGTTTGCCCATTTAATTGGCCAAAATTACACATAACAACAAAATACAAAAGATAGACGTCAATATAATTGTGCATATAAAAGAAGCTCGTTTTCGCCTTGTATTTCATTCATAATACTTATCATCAATTTCTTATTACTAGAAGCTTATCAACTCTTCACTCTAAATTTATTTAAAAATCCAAAGAATTTTAAAATTTTTAAAATTTTCAAAGGTTTAAATATTTAGAAATTATTTTTCTATATAAAATGGACTCCCACTCAAAAGATGGTAAAAACATTAAATTTTTAAATTGATTATTTTAACTTATTTAGTTCAACCAATCACGCTTAATGATGATGAAACTCAAAATAATGGATCACAAGGTAACTAACTTCAGGGTCTAATATTTTTAAATATTAAGGTTCAATAACTGCCGAGGAAATAGAGCTATTCCGCGATTTTATTTCAAAACAACAAAAAAAGAAAGAGGCATCAGAAAATAAAAGAAGAAAGTCTAAGTCAAATAGTACTTCGTCACCAGACAAATCAACACCGGCAAAAAAGACTAAAACGCCCGAGAAGAAAATAAAAAATTTATCTGAGACTCAGGTATACTTATCTATATTTTGGTATATAAATATAATTAGCAGGCAAACGATGGAGAAGCAAAGCAAATGTCTGATAAAGAAAAGAAGGATGATGATGAATTGCATCAGGCTATTCTAAATTACGAGGGAGATTTTTCAGAATCTGAAGATGATAATCCTATGGGATTAAACGAATCAGCCAGCAAAAAAATGCGCATTGAAAGTAATTTTATATTTGGAAATTTTAAAATAAAGCAATTTTAGGAAATTATCATAAGAGATTCACTGTGCCAGCGGCTCTGATCGATCGAGCACAGCTTCTTAAACATCAACGACGAGGGATATTCGTCTACCAGTGCGAATCTTGCCGCGAAAGTCAGAAAAAAAGGGAATTCTATCTATTCAGCACAGGGATAGATGGACTATCTGTATTGACGATAGAATTGTGTGCTGAGGATCTTGATAAAAATATCTCTTTAGGAATGCATTACTCTGGATACTTTGGTAAGATGAAAATTTTTACGAAAATCAAAAATATTTTAGGTCATTCTAATAATGGACATCAATCAGGCTCAAAAATATCAATGCTTGATCTTGGTAATCGTATTTTGTAAATAATGAATATTTTTATTAAGATGACGATGAGTTTGAATTTTCAAGAGGTGCGAGCATTACAAAAGGTACGGATAAGAAGCTTCTAAACTTGGGCAAATATTGCTGGATTCTTCACCAGGTAGTAAAATGTATTAAATTTTTTATACATAATTTTAGTGCGCACAATGCAGCGACCTTACAAAAAAACTGGCTAATGAACTTTTCATCAAGAAAAAGGGCGGCATCTACGAGCTCAGCTTCCCAGTAAGGAAATATCACAAATGATTAAATAATTTAAATTAAGGTCTGCTCTTACTGCACAACAGCCAACATTGAGCACCAGCAAAAAACATATGGCACATTAAATAAGAAGAATTAATAGGAAAATTAAACACCGCTTATTCGCTTAATATTGTTGAATAAAAATTTGAAGGAACCTTAATTACAAAAAATAATCGTTGAATTAACGATTTATAATTCTAATATTTTAACTAATCAATTTTCATAAAAAAGTTTCAGTTCCTGTAATATTCTCTTCAAAATAAAGGTATTAAAATATTCAAAATCTTAAATAAAGATATTAAGATGGATCAACAAATGTATGAACATGTTATTGAAGGTCTCAAAGAAAGTGTTATACGCTTCTCTCGACAAATAAACACGCTTGAATATGTGCGCCAAGATGACAAAATGCTAAAAAATGAGCTTTACGATGCTTTTATGCAATTTCATGAAAAACGATATCCTCTAGCAAAATGTCAAATACATGAATATCTACTAAGGGAGATGAATGCGCTGGCAAAAATTGTATATTTTTATTCGTATAATTCATCAAATATAGTACTTAAGGCTATTACGGAAGTCGTGAAGGATGAGTTGTATTTTGAGCTTCATAACCCATTTAGCAAATTTTGGGGTCAAATTGATCTTGAAATGGCAATTAAGATTTTCAACAAACACGGAAGCATTCATGGACCAATCATGAGAGAAGGTTTGACAAATAATATTTCAAGTATTTTTATTTTAGATTCACCAATAATATTTATGAGAGCACACACTGATTCCTGTAGTACTATTAAACCCAACACAGAGGCTCTTTTCCATCTATTGCACTTGTTTTAGCCTCTTCTTGTGTATTTTGGGCTGTTTTAGGTTCAGCAACAGGCGGTTTGTCTCCCAGTACTTTTTTGACTAGGGATAATTTATAAGCATAATTTTGCCAGAATTTTGCTTCCGTGATTCTGAAAATTATAAAAAAGATGCATTAATTCGACGTGATTAAATTTTTATAATTTTTTTCTTTACAGAAAATTAGAAATTTTTTTAATTTAAAAAACCTTTTTGGCACCAATTCAAACCGGACATCTTCTAAACGAGGATCCAACTTAAAAAATTCTTTAGCGTTTGTTTTAATCTCTTCGACTTCAATTCCAATATCAGAAGAAATTGGCAAATCCTCAGTAAAGTTTTTTGTGTCCTTTAAACAAAAAATATACTTTTTGGTTAAGTGGGAAAATAAATATTTCTGGGGGGGGGGGGAGTTCGAACCCGCTCAGGGTAATTAATTTTTCTTTTACTTATTTTTCGAAAATTAAGTGTTTTTTAACTAAAATACCCTCCAAATTAAAAAAATATTTTAGAAATCCTTAAAAAATCCCTTAAAACCTCAAAAAACTTCTTACACTTGAAATCGAAATAATATGCCTCTTTGCCTCTAAATTGTCGAGTAAAAGACATAATTGACTTGAATCTTCTATTTTTGTTCTTTTTTCAGATTCTAATTCGTCAATAAATTTTTGTCTTTCTTTTTCAAAATTTCCAATAATTTTCTAAAATTAAATAAAAATTATGTGGGGAATTTAGGGGGAGACTAAATTTACTGTTCTTCAACATTTCCACTTATTTTAACTCTGACAGTTAAATTTAAGAAATCAATTTTTGGGAAGGATTATAGAAAATATGAGAGACGGAAAAGCTTTACATTCTGTTTGATGTTAGTGAAAAATTGTTGAATGGAAATACAAGTTTGATGAATGACTCGAAGGAAAGATTGGACGAAGGAACAAGTCATACAAATAGAAACAGAACAACTACTCCCCTCCTCCTTCCTTTTACTGTTAAAACTTAGGTTGTTAACTAACGGTTATTTATACGGAACCCCCCAATTTTAGGTTAATCAAACTTTTAAAAATCCGATTTTCGTTTCTGTTTTATTTAAGGGAAATTTTTTCATAAAAAATCACCCATTTTCGGGTTTTTAAAGTTTCATAAAAAACGGTTAATTTGAGGCAAAAATTATCAAAAACTTAGGTCTTAAAATCAGCCGTGAAAACCCCTAATAAAAATGAAGAAAAAAATCAGACACAACTAAATTTCCAGCCCTTCTCATTGTCAATATTTAAAAAAATTAATTTAAAAAAACCAATGGAGTAAAATTCTTCGCTTCTTCTTGTATTTTTGTTGAAGCCTTAATAGCCATTCCAAACATTTTATCTTCAAAAATAATTTTTTTTCTAATTTTTAAAAATATTTTAAAGAATACTAGCAAAAAGTGAAGGTTTAGAAGAACTCTTTTCCTCTTCCCCTCCTTCCCCCTCTTTTTTAATTTCTTCATTTTCTTCAGTCATTTTGACAACATTTTCTTCCAATTTTTGTATTTGACATTCTTCTTCCTTTTTGTTAAACGAAGCAATTTTATTTTCTACATTGGCTATAGTTGATTTTATATTGCTAAAGAAGGTACTCATTTTTTTATAAAAAATATTCTAAAAATAAAAAAGAGATTGTTGAAAGATATGTAAATTAATAACAAAATTTAAAAAGAAAAAAAATTTATGAAAAATGAGAGAGAATAATAAATTTATGTCACATATGTATGGAAGTAATAAAAAATAAATATTATTGACAACTTGAATGGTGTATTCATGTTTATTTAATAATCGAATACACCAATTCGTGTCCGTTAGTCTCGCCAAAGGTTAGTTTCGTCAGTAAGACAGTTCGTCTTGCAAACTTCTCCCTAATATTAGATATGTTCGGGGGGTGAAAAAAAGACGAGAGTCGGGAGCCGAGACCGGGAATTAACCCCGAGTCTCGGACCGAGACCGAGAGTCTCCAACATCACTAGTACCTAATACTCTCCATTTCCTTGATTGCGGGGCGACTCGACCAAAATACGGTCCAGTGGAAAAATCTGTATTTTTACATTTCTAAAAAATAGAGAGTTTGTTGGATTCTCGACCAAGTTGCTTGCAGGAATATCGACGGATTTCGGTGGATTAAAAGTGATAGCAGGGTATGCGGGGATTAAAAAGAAAAGAATGTGGGCGTGATGTCGAAGGATCAAGAGGGCTTTAAAGGAGATCGGTGGATTCCGAGATATTGAGGGGTAGTTCAGTGATTTGTTAAGACCGTGACATGTCCGTTATGACTTGTCGTTCCGTGTCTTTTCTGTTCCGTGAGTTAGCCTGATACGATTTTCATTTGGCATTGAATCAGAGTATTACAAATTAGTTAAAGAAAATTAGAGAGAAATATGGGAGTCTGGAAGAACTTCGACAAATTTTTAGAAAATAAAAATATATTTTTATCAAAAAGCCAAATTAAACATATATGCATAAAACAAAGTTGCCTAATATTTTTAAAAAACCACCCAGAAATCATTTTTTTGGATTATAAACTGACAAGGAATTCAATGAGAATAATTACTTTCGGAAATGTCAAAGATAAAAAAAATCTGGGCGGTAATAAAGGTAAACCGAAAGGTAATAAAATAAATTATCAAATAAATTTAACAATAAATTTGTTTAATTATTAATTCCTCCAATTCTTCTTTATATGAAATAGAGTATTTAATTTTTGGATTAAATTTGTTGGAAAGTAGGTATTTTGTAATTAAATAATCGTCGTCATCATGGTCATCCTCGATGTTCTCAGCTCTTCCATTTAAACTAGTCAAATTAATAAAAATATAGTTGACAGATAAATTCTTCCTTTAACTTCTTTTAAATGTGTTTAGAAATATTTAAAAATAAGTTGACAAACTTTAACCTGAAAAAATTAATGCAAAAAATAAACAAAAAATAATTTTATTTAAAAAGTCAATAAAAGACAAAAAATTTTAAGATATTTTCTCCAATAAATCCAAAATTTATTTTCCTCTTCTCAGATTCTCTATTCTTTAAATATTTTGATTTCAACGTTAAACCCATAATCATCACTGTTACTTTCTTCATTGCAAAATGAGAATTTCATTTTTGGATTGTGAATATTGGAAATTTGATAATTTGTATATTTAACTCCATTTGATTTTTTAACTTCAACCTTTTCTGCTCTCTTGCTTAATTTAAATCTTTTTGGATTGAAGAAATTGAGAATAATAATTGGTATTGAACAGTCTTTGGATGTTGTTATATGCTAAAAATTTTAAAATTTATTTTTAATTTTTCTGACAAACTTCAATAATCTGTTCATAAAGCACGCTCTTATAATTATTCAATTTTTCTGTATCATTATCAAACACCAATATAATTTTTTGAAATTTTTCTTCATTTATTAAAATTTTAAATAAAGTTTTTCCATATTTTTCGATAATGTCATCATCTTGAAAAAAACTAATTTTAAGCTTTTCGCCAACTAAATTATTCAAAATAAATCCAAATATTTTCCCAATATTGTCGTCAATATATATTTTGCATTTTTGAATATAAAATTGTTTAGCATTTCCAAATAATAATTGAATCAGTTCTGGATTGAATATAAAGTCTTGAAAAATTCCACGTTTAAAAGAACATTTAATCAATTTATTTAGATAGAAATAAACAATTTTAATGTCCTCTTTGTTTTTAATAATTGTTGGAAGTTGAAGTTGATAATAACGGGTTTCATCGTTGTAAACTAAAAATTTATTTATTTATAAGCAATCACACGGTACTAATCAGGGATGCTTGAAATTTCATCCTTCCCGAAATATATCCGATTAGGAAATATCGGGGGTTTTGGGAATCAAAATAGATATAGAGATTAGAATTAACGAGGAAGATATCAAAGGATTGTGAAGATCAATAGGATATCGGAGGAGTGAGAGGAGCATTGGCATCCTTACGCTAATTAAGATTAATGGGATAGCACGCGTATCAAGGGATTTAAAATGATATATGTGAAGATTTAAGTGACTCCTTAATCCTCGATATCTCTCTAAATCACTGATATCTCTTCAAGCCACTTTTAGTATCTCTAATCAACTTGCGGCTGTAAAAAATTTTTTCAATTGCGTGAATTTCTGGTCAAACAATTCTCCGTTCTCCTAGTGTATAATAAAGACAAAAGCAGGATAAAGGAAAAAACTGACCTTTAGTTAGAAATATATAACTTAAGTGTGAAAATTGCTCATCCAAACACAAAGGAATTGTTTGTTTAAATCCGTTTTTAAACTAAAAAAGAAAGTGAATCATTAAATATATTAATCTATTTACCTTCTTTTCAAGTTCTTCACTCAATGGAAAATCAACATTTTTAGATTTAATCAATTTCGGAGATCCTCCTCTCATTAGATCCACATCCTTAAATAAACTTTAAAATTTAAATTAATCAATAAACGGTACAATATCTATTTCATAAAATTCCTCCCGAGCAAGTTCTCCTTCAAAATTAACAATAAAATCACGAAAATGTAAATTTGTTTGCTTGATTGAACATAAATCTTCGTAATTGAGGAATTTAAAAATATAAAGCTTAATTTCTGTAGGCAATGAATAAAGCATTTTTTGACGAAAATTCAATAGAAGCACTAAAAATTAAGTTAAGAATGATTTAAAAATCTATAAAACTTGTCAAGTACTGAACTAAAATCAGAAAACAAGGGATTATTCCAAAACTGGAAAAGTAGTTTTGATAACGAAAAGTTATCCCAACAGCGGAAACGCCAAAATTAAAATAAGAAAAATCGCAGCTTATTATTGTGAAACAATAAGAGAAAGCTAAAATGAGGAGAGTAGAAGAGCGTTAGACAAAATTTGGACAAAATGCCATTTTTAGCAAAATGACATTTAATAAAAATTTCCAGTTCATCGCCAGTCCTAATTCGCGTACAATTTCCTATTTGCCAACATGAGGATTGGAAC